TAGGCTTTTGGTTTCTAAGGATCGAAATTCTAGAAAAAGAAAATCGACAAATGATCAAAATGATATTATGAAGGGATCTCTTGATGAGACCCAAGATCTGATTAGTTCTGAGATTCCTGAAGAAATCAATGAACCCGAGACTCAAGTGAGTGAGGAACTTTTAATAAGTTCTACTAGTGATGGGATTTATTTAAATCGATCTGAAATAATGGTGGATAATATTTTTTTGCATATAATGTTGCACTTAATATTATGCAAGATAGTGAGAATCTTGAACCCCGATCTGTCGAAGAATGTCGACAAAGATCTGATCGGCCAAAATGGCAAAAGTCAATTCAATCGGAATTGAAGTCACTTGCTAAAAGAGAGGTCTTTGGACCAGTAGTCCAAACACCTGCTGGTATAAAACCAGTTGGTCATAAATGGGTTTTTGTGCAAAAAAGGAATGATAAAAATGAAGTTGAAAGATACAAGGCTCGCCTTGTTGCATAAGGATTCTCACAACAACCTGGAGTCGATTATGAAAAAACATATTCACCCGTTATGGATGCCATAACATTTTGATATCTCATCAGTTTAGCCTTACGTGAAAGGCTTGAAATACATCTAATGGATGTGGTTACAGCTTATGTGTACGGGTCACTTGATAATGAAAATCCCTGAATGATTTAAAATACCTAAAGCATATTCAAAATCTCGAAAAATGTACTCAATCAGATTACAAAGATCTTTGTACGGTTTAAAACAATCTAGGCGCATGCGGTATAATCGCCTCATTGAATATTTGCTGAAAGAAGGTTACATAAATGATGTTATTTATCCATATATTTTTATAAAGAAAATGGCTTCAGAATTTGTTATACTTGATGTTTATATTGATGAAATAAATCTTGTTGGAACTTCAAAAGAGTTCCAAAAGGCAATTGAATATCTTAAGAAAGAATTTGAGATGAAAGATCTTGGAAAGACAAAACTTTGTCTTGGCCTGCAAATTGAATATTTAGCAGACGTGATCTTTATCCATCAATCTGCCTATACAGAAAGGGTATTAAAACGCTTTTACATGGACAAAGCGCACCCATTGAGTACACCAATGGTTGTTCGATTACTTGAAATGAATAAAGATTTGTTCCGACCTCCAGAAGAGGATGAGGAACTCCTTGGTCCCGAAGTACCCTATCTCAGTACAATTGGTGCACTAATGTATCTTGCTAATGCTACAAGTCCTGACATAGCATTTTCTCTTAAGTTACTTGCAAGATATAGTTCTTCTCATACACAGAGACATTTGAACATGATTATACATATATTGCGATATTTAAAGAGAACTCTTGATATGGGTTTATTTTATTCTAACAAAGGTAGTGCAGATCTTGTTGGTTATGTAGATGCAAGTTATTTATCTGATCCCCATAAAGCTAGATCTCAAACCGGGTACGTGTTTACATGTGGAGGTACTATCATCTCATAACGCTCCACGAAGCAATCTATTGTTGCTACTTCTTCAAATCATGCTGAAATAATAGCTATTCATGAAGCAAGTAGAGAATGTGTATGATTGAGATCAATAATTCATTTTATTCGAGAAAAATGTGGTTTGGAATGTAAGAAAAGACCCACAATTTTATACAAAGACAATGCTGCATGCATAGCCCAATTGAAGGGAGAATTTATAAAAGAAAATAAAACGAAGCACATTTCACCAAAATTATTCTACACACACGATCTTCAGAAAAATGGTGACATTGATGTGCAACAAATCCGTTCAAGTGATAATCCGGCAAATTTATCCACTAAATCTTTACCAACTTCAACTTTTGAGAAGATGGTATACAAGATTGGAATGCGGAGACTCAAATATTTGAAACAAGGTTTTCATCAGGGGGAGTAAAATACGCGATGTACTCTTTTTTCCTTATAAGATTTTTAATGAGGCAGCTAGCAATGCGTAATACTAAATATGTGTACTCTTTTTTCTTTACTAGGATTTTTTTCCACAGGGTTTTTTTCTAGTAAGGTTTTAACGAGGCACAATACCTTTTAATGAACATACAAGGGGGAGTGTTATGAAAATAATTATACTGTGGATGCCCATTTATTACTTCACTATAGATAATCTTTCCGAAGAAGATTATCCATTTAGTACTCTGTTGAAGTTTATCTACAAGCAACTGATGCAGGTAGGTTGCAAGCAACTCAATGAAATAATTTGCAACAGCTTCTTATTAAACAGGCTGGTTGCAAGCAACTCAATGAAATAATTTGCAACAGCTTCTTATTAAACAGGCTGGTTGCAAGCAACTCATGCAGACAACTTACAAGCAGCTAAAGAAAAGTCTTGCAGCTGCTTCTTGAAAAGCCTCGCAACTGCTTCCTTTCTTCTATAAATAAATGAGTTTTCAGTTTATTATGTACATAAGTTTGAAATTTGAATAATATATCAGTTTTTCTCTATACTTGTCTTTACTTTACAGTTTTTATTTTATAACAAAACCTAATATTTTTCAATTATATCATTACCACAGTCTAAAGAATTTTGTATACATGTTTTCAAGATTTTAACAAGCAACCTTGAATTTAAAATGTACATTACCTTGAAAGAAGGGCATTTTAGATATTACAGCAATGAAGATAGAAGGCCTAAGAAAGTGTATTTAATTCCTGCTACCACTGACATTTTTGAAGGCTTCTTAAGATAGCCATTATGGAGAAGGTTTTATTCTCATTTTAAGAAGCAACTCGACAGATTTTTGTTCTTGATTGATACGGTACAACGGGTGAAACCAAAAGGTAAATAAATAAATAAAATAGAAATTGTTAGTTAATTTTGATGGCAACTAATAATGAAGGGTTACACCCTTCAAATAAATTTAATATTTTTATTTATTTATTTAAATAATTCAGATTATTAAAAATGACATTTAGGTAATTCAAGTTTTTAATTTAGGGGTTCCCAATTTTATAATAATATAGATTATTATTGACTGTTTTTTTACCCGAGTTACTACTAGTCAGACTATCAAGTTATGATGTATGTGGCCACCAACTTTTTGTACCCGTGAATTATTCCGCATCGGGGCCGGCTTAACCCCTTAAGCAGTTGAGTTGAAGTATTCGCTTTAGGCCTGGCAAATATTTAGGCCCCAAAAATGATTATTGTTATAAATATAAGTTTTCAATATTTTATTTAAATATTATTATTCAATAATTTCTCTCTCTCTCATCAATTAGGATAATCTAATTATTTTTTTATCAGCCTTATTGTTTTCCTCTACTAATCTAACTATATTTACCTAACTATTTTTCTCTATTCATTTAATCACTTGAGCATATTTTATGTATAAGTCAACACACTCTAATTGCCACAGGATACACGTACGAGATGCACGGGTGACACACGACATGTATGGTGCATGGGATGCACGTGTGATACACGGATGTACGAGATGCACGTGTGATGAACATAAAAGATGTTTATTAAATTACTTGAGACCTCTTATAAGGTATTTTTAAGCCACTAATTCTATCGAGCCGCTTCTATTATACATCCACGACCTTTGGCTTGCGGATGTTAGAGGAGCAAGTTTAACATGCATGCACATGTCTTTCACCTGAAAATGAAGATCGAAATGTAGATAATCAGTATCGTGCGGCTGTTTTTCTTTATTATTATTATTATTATTATTATAAAGAGGAGTATGCTATAATTGTAACTTTATTATGCTTTGCATAGTTGACATGGACTAGAACTTACAAACAGAACTAAAAATATTTGGCCTAATTTGGTAGTTGGCCTTTGGAGATCGAGTTTCCTGGAAGTACGAGTGAAAGAAACATGGATTTTGTCTGCATCATCAACACTACTTTTACAAATACATTTGGACCTATTTGTCCATACAAAATTTTCTTTTCTTTTTTGAATTTTTGGGTAATACATTGGGCTGATTTGAAATTATTTTTGAAGATGAGTTTTCAAGTTTGAAAAAGTGGGTTTTACCACTTTTTCATGTAAAATTTAATTTTCCCTCACAAAACTACAATATTTTTCAATGAAATGCATGTCCAAATACAACTTCAATTTTCAAATACCTTTTTTAAAATTAATTCCAGAAACTACTTTTTTGTAAAAAATTATTATCTCCAAACGCTTATAAAGTAGCAATTTGTTTTATAACTTCATTCTCAATTGCACAGAGTTGTTGAAACTTAAAACTCAAGCAAGCAGATCCTTTTATAGTTTAACAGAGTTAAAGGTTCTCTAATTATGCAGGAAAACAGTGGCCTTCTAGTTATGTGCATTTGTTCATTTATTGCTTTAAACTTAGCAAATATCTGCAAGACAACGGTTAAACTTCAAATTCTTTAGAAGGGGTGAATATTTCCAAGAAACGCTTGGGACTCTTTGTATTACACTATTACTCTAAGCTTTGGTTTGGTAATTTTTAGAAACAAAAATACAACATAATATTACTGCAATGTCAGTTTTTCTCCAGAGCACTTACTAAAACGAATTCAATTCTGCTGAGTCTTCAATCACTAGACTAATAAAGCTTAAAAAAAAGTGTTTTTCCAAAGTTTTAAAGTGTTTGGCCAAACTTTTAGAAGGAAAAAAAGTGATTTTGAGTAGAAGCAGAAGCAGTTTTAGAGAAGCAGAAAAAAGTAATTTCTCCTCAAAAGCACTTTTGAGAAAAATACACTTAAAAATACTTTTTAAAAGATTGGTCAAACACTAATTGTTGCTCAGAAGTGCTTTTCCAATTGATTAGCCAAACACAAATTGTTTCTCGCCAAAAATACTTCTGAAAAAAGCACTTTAAAAAAAAATATTTTTCAAAATAAGCTGATTTTAGAAGTTTGGCCAAACAGGCTATAAAATTCAATAAACAATAGGGTGGTCTCATAAGTAATCGTTCGAATCATAGATGGAAAATTGTCTGTTTTAATTTAAAGGTTATTCTATGACCAACTTAAAGCTAGAGGATAAAAATTGAGTATCACTATGACTGAAAGATAAATTAGTAAAATTTACTTCTTCAAAGTTACAACTCAACGGTTCGTGAACTAGTAGTTAATTAGCTGTGTACAAAAGCAGACTTTCTACATCGCTTACAATTACAAACTTTTGCTCATAACTTAGTTACACTAGAATTTGTTCCAAGAAATCGCGCAGAAGCTTTCCAGAAATGTGTTTGAAACACAAACTCACATTCCACAAGTGGCCAGCCTAGCACTGAAAGTTGAACCAGAAGCAGACTTACCTTTATCTGGAAATTGGCCTATGGAACATTCAACAACTTGGAAATATTGATTCTTGAGGGTTCAGACTCGATGTTCTCTATCGGTATCTGAATTTCTGCAGTCATATATTGAATTCTCAGAGACAAAACCGCAGCATTATCATGCATGACCAGCACCTTCAATCGGCATAGAAACTTATCAGCCTCTAATTCAAAGAGAGTTTCAGCAAAATATATGGGTACAATACAGAACAACAAACTCATATCAACAACAGTAAATCCAAGAATCACATTCCTTATCCAGTGTTTTGTTGTAAAAGGTGTGAGTGCGAGATGGGACATAAGCCCGCGAATTTTGTGAAATAGTTTATAAATTAATAAATTGAGCACAAGCGACAAATGGGGATTGTGAAAAATACATCAAAATGTACAAATCTAAAAGTAAATTGTAAAACAATTAGGAAATGGCAATTTTTTGATTGAACTATTTTGGATTAACATACCATGGTTTCTGAAACTGATTTAGGGCCCAACTAGACGCAATAAGACTTATTGGATAACCCTCCAGCTCATAGCATGCACCGCACAAATGATGGGTTCAACTCAACCCATCTATTTTCGACACGAAATACAGATACACATGTATTTTGGAGGAGCTTTGGCAGGCTTTGTATAATACACCATAAGAAAAGAAAAGGAGTAATTGTATTTAACAGATTAGACAAAGTAAAAAGAAATAAGATGAAGGGCATTAATAAATAGGCCTAGACCCACACTTCGCGAACAACATTTGGGAAGGGATTAAAGATCAAGAGCAACCGCCACTTGAGTGCTTCACAACTGTACGACAAATATAAACCAAGCCTTCTCTTGGTCATTATGTTCGGGAAAGAAATGCAGCAGCTATTCGTTGCTTCAAGCTCTTCCATTTTTGCGTGAAATGAGGATTTAAAAGGGAGACCATAAGGCTTAAAGCAAGTTCGTACAAATCAAGAAGTGTTCAAAAATCCCAAAACCTCAAGCAACTAGTAAGCTCCACTCAAGGTAACCCTTGTGCTCTTTTTGAAAATTTTACCATTCTTTGAGATATGGTATGAATATTTGAGATTTAAATGAAGTATTTCAGCTTAAATGAAATTACAACATGAGTTGGATTTGAATTGAACTTAGAAATCTATGGAATTGAACCATAACCCCCAAATCAATAAATTAAGGAAAATTGGATGACTATAAATTTTGATAAAAAATTAAGTAAATATTTGGACTCAAATGTATCGTGTCTGTATAAGATAAGTGAGTTCATAGATCAACCTCAGCAACTGCTACGGAATAACTTATCTAGGTCAACATTTGAAATGTACTAATTAATTGAACTGGTTGGACGCATCCCATCCTATTTATCAGATATTGATTTAACTGGACTAGGAGGATATTGAACTATCCACCGTCATCTGATACTGATATTGTGCCATGATATGCAATGAGTGCATCTATACTATCTGTGTTGTACTAGCATATTCATAAATTACACGTGTCGGGTCATGCACGTGCAATGAAGCATAAATACATGAAACATTGGATGAACTTTGGTGGCCTGGCAAGCCTATAGGCCACCGCACCCACCCTTGCAATATCTCATACAACCAATATATTCCGACTCAAATTGCCTCTCTTCTCAAACCTCATCGCACATTTCATGGAAAAACCTTTAGAAACAACGAATCATCCATAGTGAACTCCAAGTCGTGACTCCTCTTGTGTGCATAGTAGATGTATATGCATTAAATATCTTTATGGGGTGACTATAATAGTCACTCCCTACGTTCCAGGAAGAACGACACTAGTTTCTTATTAGTCCGCTCAAAAAAGAATGACACCTTTCTAAATTTGATAAAGTTGATCTATAAACTCACTAATTTGATACGGACCTAATACGTTTTCGAATTATCCATAATCCAATGAGTCCAAATATTTACTTAATTTCCCAATCGGAGTTCAAAAAGTCATTTAACCTCGTTACTAATTTGAGGGTTAGGGCTCAATTCCTAACATTTCTAAACTCAAAAGCTTCAAATCAAATCAAACACATGGTATAGTATCATCTAAAATCTCCAATACTGATGCCTATATCTCAAGCAGTAAAAAAAATGCAAAAAAAAAATAAAAAAAAATATATATATTACCTTGAATAAAGCTTATTAGTCTCTTGAGGTTTTGAGATTGATGCGCACTTCTTGATTTGTATAAACTCGCTTTAAGCCTTACGCTCTCCCTTTAAATACCTATTTTTTATCTGGTTTCCTCTTTCCCTTTTAAATCCCTATTTCACACAGCAAGTGAAACAACTTAAAGTAGTAAATAGTTGTTGCATTCCTTTTATGATGATAATGACCAAAAGAAGGCTTGATTTATATTCATGTAGTTGTGAAATATTCAAGTAATTATTGTCCTTAATCTTGTTAATCCCTTGTCAAATGTTGTTTGCAAAGTTTGGACTTGGGGTCCATTTTATTATGAAGCTCTTTTCATTTTATTCTACTTTTCTAATCTCTTAAATATAACTGCTTCTTTTTCCTTATGGGGTATTACATTCTCCCACAATTAAAATAACGCTCGTCCTCATACGAGTCTAACATACTTTGAGTATCAAATAGTTGCAGATACTTGCTATGCATATCCTACTCAGACTCTCAAGTAGCCTTCTCAACCTGATGGTTCTACCACAGTACTTTGACGGCAGAAATCTTCTTCGATCTCAAGTAGCAAGCTTGTTTGTGTATAATAGTTATCGAGATCTCCTCATAGGACAACTCCACATCCACTTGCACAACTTGAGCTTAATAATATGTGTCAGGTCATGCACGTGCTTGGAAGCAAAGACACATAGAACACCGAATGGACCTTGCTAACTCTGGTGGCAGGGCAAGCCTATAGGCCACCATACCCACCTGTTGTAATATCTCATTGGCTAATATACCCCATACTCAATTTGCCTTTCTTCTCGAACCTCATCACATATTTCATCGTAAGAACCTTTAAAAATACCCAATCACCCACCATGAACTCTAAGTCACGACTCCTCTTGTCCATATAGTAGATGTATGCATTAATTATATATATGGGGTGCCTATAATAGGTTACTATGTGTTATTTCTATTCATTATTATGTCGCTTTAAGTACTTTGACGAAGAACTGTTGCATCGCTTTCCGTTTATGATGAAGGTTTTCATAGGATTCTCTAAGATAGTGAGATTAATACACACTCTTGGATTAATACACACTTCTTCCTTTAGTGGCCATAAAACCAGAAAGCACTGAAACAAATAGAATAATCACTAGCATGCTTGAGCAGTCACCTGCTTCATTCTGTTATGAAAATGCTAAAGGAACTACAATTTGTGTAGACCTTTAGAAGAGTTATTTTATTAAACAAAATCTTGAGAAACTTAAATTCATGATGCGTCTTATGAGCCATTAATAAGCGTTACCAGAATAAAAATATTTCATCAGAAGCTATTAATTACTAGGTTCAGCTGGAGAGCCAAAAACTGAGGAGCAAGATTTTTAATTACTCATTTGAATCAACCTATTATCCGCTGAAACAAAGGTACCATGTTCTTCCCCAAATATCAACCTTCAATTTTCTGTTATTTTGTAACTTTTTTGAGTGTCATTTCTCTGTTTAAAAAGTGGACTCCCGGTGATTGATTTTGTGGGGGTCTCAAAGATATGACATTTACATTGTCTCACGGCATTATAATTGAGATAATTTTTGATTCAGTGGCGAACAAATGGGAGCAAGACAAAAATATGTGTTGCTTCTTCAAATTTATTATCTGTAACAATGTATCTTGTTTGTACATTATGAATTTGTCTCGTAACAAATGAGACATAAACATAGGTACGAGAACTTTCTACTCGAAAAAGGACAAACTAAACTTTTGTCTTCAAAGCATAACTAAGGTAAAATTACATTTTTCCTTACATTTAAAAAAAAGTTTCTTTCTGGCTTTGTTCGATGTGCAATAGCTATATGGTTTTGTTTGTTTATTTGCTTCTTGTCTCTCATTCATCATTTTGTTTAAAGAATCTTTTTATCAATTAACAAAAGTATGTACAATTAACAAAAGTATGTAAAGTAACAGAAAATATAGCTTTTTGTTCTTGAACTATATGCTTGATTTTTATTTTTATTTTTTTTACAAATTTTGTCTCATAGCCATAAAAGAAAAATAGTCAACTTTCAAACTCATTGAAAGAAATGTGATTATGTAATGTGTACAATAATCTTCAAGTTCCTTAGATGTTATAAATTTTGTTGCTACGAACCATCTTTTGGAGTTAAGTGAACTAATTTCTTTTTTTTTTTTATAATGGTTTACGAAAAAAACTTATAAATCATTCTACTTATTGAATTGATTCACATAGATTTATTTTTCATTATAAACCACTGTAGTTTGATAAAACTGCATCTTAAAATTCTACTCAATTGTAATAGTTGGCTACTTCCAGCAAATACCATTTATTGAGAAGTACTTCAATGTTGTTTGTAGCAAGACATACGTATGCATGATCTTCGAAAAAGAATTAGTCGCTTGACCAATAACCATGACACGGAACCAGTTAAAAATTCCACGAAAGCATCCAGAAAAAATATTCCACATCTAGAAGTTGTTTATCCAGGTAATTACAATAAAACTTTTGTGCAATATTGTCATTCTTCTTCAATTAGACAAAATTTACATGTTTGTTTAATCATATCTAGCTAACTCATGAAGCATGGACATTCCAAGAGAGTTGGCAATTAACTACCATTATGATGGCTATTTTGCATTTTCTCCATCTAGAAAGTATGTAAGTGGACATTTGATGAAAACAAGCATTGACAGTAAATTTCATATGTTTCTTCGCTAGTTAAATTGAAAAAGTATTGTAACTTCAATATTCTTAAGGGAGATAAGCTCTTTTATTTGAGAGGTGATAGAGTTATCAGTGATTATGATAGGCTAGTGGTGTCGTGACGATTCAGATGTTAAGAACGAGCTTGTTAGTTAAGAGAGGCATAAGGAGAAATTGTGATATGTTTATGAGTACTTTTCCGGAGAAAATAGTTTTAGGGATAATTCGTTTGAAGAGTTAAGAGAAGCAGTTAAGGAAGAACATGAATCAACAAATTCAACAGGTATTTTTTTTTTATCAATCTTAGTCACTTTTATCGACATTTCTACTTGAAATATATTTAATTAATCTTTAAATGTAGGTTTCAACATTGAGAAAAGAAAAATCAGAGGGCGTACGAGGTGCATGAAAATAATCAACTTACAAGAGGTACAAGATCGCCGATGGAATTTGTTGAGGATCATCAAGCTATTGGTGAGAATACAACCAAATTCATTTGGTTTTTGGGCCAAACAGTTAGAAGTCAAACTTGTTGCCCTTTAAAAGTAAATGTTTTCATTGTTTTTTTAAGAATATTTTTCAATGTTTCTAAGCCTTATAGATAATAACTTTTATTGAAAATTTACAAGAAATGGATGAGGAACATCAAGCTATTGTTGAGAATGCTTTCAATTTTTCTTACTCAATCTCTTTCCAACCATTTACTTTTTAAGGACAACAAATTCTATTTCTAAATATTTGGCCCAAAAACCAAATAAAATTGGGTTGCATTCTCACCAATAGCTAGATATCCCCAACAAATTTCACATTTTGGTCCCTCTTGTAAAGTTGATTATTTTCATGCACCACGTAGGCCCTCTAATTTTTCTTTTCACAGTGTTGGAACTTACATTTAAAGATTAAATAAATATACGTCAAGTAGAAATGTCGATAGAAGTGACTAAAATCAATAAAAAGAATACCTGCTGAATTTGTTGATTCATGTTCTTTCTCAGCTGCTTTGCCTAGCTTTTCAAATGAATTATCCCTACAACTATTTTCTCAGAAAAAGTACTCATAAAAGTATCACAATTTTATGGGAGTGTATAAATCTCAATGGGTTTCTCCTTATGCCTCTCGTAATTAATAAGAATGTTCTTAACATCTAAATCTTCATAACACCACTAGCCCATCATAATCATTGATAACTATATCCCCTCTCAAATAAAAGAGCTCATCTCCCTTAAAAATATTGAAGTTCCAATGCTTTTTCAAATCATCCAGCGAAGAAACATATAAAATCTACGTCAGTGCTTGTTTTCATCAAATGTCCACTTACTATGATCAATAAAAAAAAGAATACCTGTTGAATTTTTTATTCATGTTCTTCCACAAACATTTCGCTCACCACTTCAGACGAATTATCCCTAAAACTATTTTCTTCGAGAAAAATACTCATAAAAATATCATAATTTTTTGGTAGTGTATAAATCTCAATACCCTTCAACGTATGCCCCTCGTAACTAATATACATATTCTTAACATTTGAATCTTCACAGCGTTCCACTAGCCTATCATAATCACTAGATAACTCTATCACCTCGCAAATGAAAAAAAAAATTATCTCCCTCAAGAATACAATGCTTTTCCAAATCATCCACCAGATCAAAAAAACATATGAAATCAACGCCAATGCTTGTTTTCATCAAATGCCACTTATATATTTTCTAGAAGGAGAAAGTGTAAAATAACCACTAAATAGTAGCTAATTGCCAACTCTCTTGATACACACTTTCTAAGATATCAATGAACATGAGTTAACTAGATATGGTAAAACGAACACGCAAATTTTGTCTAGTTAAAAAAGAAATTAATAATGAATTCAATATTTCTCAAAGTTTTATTGCAATTACCCCAATAAAAAACTTTTTCTACATTTTGTGTGGACAAATTTTCTTTAGCATATGCCCTTTTTGAAACTCTTAAAGGTCTCATGTCATGATTATCAATCAAGCGATTAGTTCTTTACCGAATATCATTCCTACCCATATCTTGTGACAAACAAGCATTTGCAAGATATTAAAATATTTCTTCATAAATACAAATATTAATGGTAGTTAATATTAATATTAACTACCATTAAAAACAAATATTAATGGTAGTTGTTGTAAGTAGCCAACTATTACAATTGGGTAGAACCTCAATATGCAATTTTATCGAACTTTAATTGTTTAAAAAGTTTGAGCGAGGCAACTCAATTAGTAGAATGATTTATAAGTTTTTCTAAAAGAAAGATAAACCACAACAATAAAAACTAATCTATTCAACTACAAAAGATGGCCTGCAGTAACAAAGTGTATAATATCAAAGGATCTCTCATAAATCATTGCACACATTACATAACCACCTCTTTCAATGAGTTTGAAAGTGGATTGTTTTTCTTTGATGGACATGAGACAAAATCTTTAAAAGTATAAGAAAACCAAACACATAGTGCAAGTACTAACAACTATACTTTTTGTTGCTGTACATGGCTTTTGTTAATTGATTCAAAAGACTCTTTAAACAAAATAATGAATAAAAAAAGAAGCAAATAAACAAACAAAATCATGTGGCTATTGTGCATCGCAAAAAGCCAAAAAGAAACTCTTTTCTAAACATATGAGAAAAAGCAAACAACAAAGAAAAAGATGTAAATTTTATCTTGGTTATGCTTTGAGAAGAAAAATTCAATTTATTCTTTTCCCGGCAGAAAATTCTTGTACCTATATTTTAGGTCTCATTTATTAGAAGACGAAATCTTAACGTACAAACAAGATACATTGTTACTAGTAATAAATTTGAAAAAGCAACAAACATGTTTGTGTCTCGCTCCTATCATTCACCACCAAATCAAAAGATATGGCAGTGCCATTTAGTAATGATTACAAAGAAAAATATCTCCACTATAATATCTTGAGACAATGTAAATTTTATATCTTTGAGACCCCCTACAAAAGCAATCACTAGGAGTCCACTTTTTAACCAGAATTGAACAAAAAGATGACACTCCAAAAAGTAGCAAAATAAACAAAATAACAAAAAATTGAAGGTTGAAATTTGGGGATTTAGACAGGGTAAGAAGACGGTACCTTAGCTTCCGTGAATGATAGGTTGATTTAGACGAGTAATCAAAAATATTGCTCCTCAGTTTTTGGCTTTCTTTCAAGTGTTTAGTGTTTTTGGCCCTCTAACCTTGCACTTAAGTTTTTGGCTCTTTATGTGGAGATGATTGTCTAGCATCACTGCAAATAATTATGCAGGATTTTGCTGTAGAGTCATAAACGTTACTGCAACAATCTTTCTTCCTTTTTAGATTGGTATAGGTTAGTAGAGCTAACTTTATAAAAGCAAGTTAGAAGATTTGATGATTTAAAGCAAATCCCATCTAAAGCACACAAAGGCACTTGTGCTACTTGTGATGCGTTGACAATTAACATGAATTAAGCTTTATGAGATAGTTCCAACTCCTTCATATTCAGCAAAATTCAACTTTATGACCCAAATCGACCTCTTGGACCCCTAAAGATATTTTTTCCAAGTTTCAACATTTTCCAGGAAAACTAACAGAACAAATGGACATAGCATACTAAAGAGTTAACAATGATGGAAAGAACATGCATGGATCATGTCATAGACAAATAAGAAGTCTACAAATCCAACTTCAACTAGTATTGACTTTAAAGGTCCTGTCCACTCTTTCATATTAAGTTAATTCTAATTCACTATCCATTCCAGGCATCCCCCCTCCCCCTGTTTCTGCTCCGAACACCATAAGCACATCTACCACACAAAGTAGCGATAATCCACAAACTACATATTAGTGAGTGAATTATGCATTCAGTCTAATATATCCTATTTTCAAATAGAATACACATAAAAAAATGCTATGATAGCCAATAAACCCAAATTATTCACAACATTGTGAATTAATGGGACCAAGTGTATGAGTTAATTAGTGTTACTCACCAACTGGCCCAAGTCAATAAAGCTTTTATATAAGAAGCATTAACTTCTGAGTTAACTATTAAAAGCACCAAATACTGAAAAGGCTAAAGAAAATAAATGAAATGACAACAGCAAACAGTCAGATTATCATGGACAAAATACCAATTCACACAAATGGTTAACAAAAGCTAGAGAATAGCCGCACCTCGTCTGAAGTAAACATCACAAGTCAACTGCAAAGCAATGCACAATTGAAGCACCATTAGGAACAACAAGAATCACATCCGACCACAAGATGCTCCCACTCAACCCTCCGCCCTTGTCCTTCCAAACTTCAATCTCTGCGCACATAATGTCAACCTCCTTGCCATTCCTCTTGCCTTCCCACGCAACACACAACCTCTCATCGAAATTCACCATCGTCGCGCCACACAAGAACCTAGGCAACCCCTTCTCCACCCCTTTCAATTCCTTCCACACATCTTCCTTCATGTCATACCCTCTAATCTTACCNTTCGTTACACTCCCCCATTCCCCACCCCCAACATCATACACCACCCCTCCCCTATCCGCCATTGCATACACCCTATCACCCACCACTGCACTGGCATGCATCCACTTGTCTCTGACCTCAATTGGACTCGGCAACGCAGCCCATAACCCCGTTAATGGATCAAAAACTTCGGCCCAATTCATCGACCTAGCCCAATTATCAACAACACACCCACCCATTACATAAATCTTCCCATTCACAACCCCAGCTGCGGCAAACTCCCTACCAATCCTCATTCTTGGCCCCATTTCCCAACAATTAAACCTACAATCGAAAACCCACACATTATTCGAAGGGATTTCACCAATGGACCCACCAATCACATAAATCTTTGGGCCCAAAACTGCATAAGCCGATCCAATGGGCTTACAGGGTATTGAAGGAAGGGGGAAAAGCTTTCTGTATTTTTGTGGGTGAGGGTGTTGGAAGAGAGTGTACCAGTGGAAAGTGGAGTTTATGCGGAGGTTGAGGAAGAGGAAAGTTTCGGTAGTACGTAGAATTGACCGGGTGGTGTAGAGTTCAGTGGAGCTTAGGGCGAAGCGCCAAGATTTGGAGACAAGAGAGAGAATAGGGTGATGGGAACGTGGGACTCTGGCTAAGCACTGTAATGCTACGTCGTCTGGGAGGTTTGGTATGAGCTGAGATTGTGGGTCTGCAGTGCCAAGATCCGCCATTTTTCCCCCTACGACTCTAAAGAGAAGAAATATTATGTACAGAGCTGAGAATGGCAGGAGAAGGGGGTTGGAGGTGAGGTGGTGGATCTAGGTTACTTTGATGGAGGTCAATATTGGAAAAGAGAATGGAGGTCAATCTCAAACTG